AAATCACATGTAGATATACATTATTTCCTAGCTTCTGTTAAAACTGCAAAAGTATTTGCTAAAATTTTTGCTGATGAAATGATTATTATTTTCTAAATAATAAAGTAAAAGCCAGATTAAGTATTTTTGCAATTAGTTACACATTTAAAACTATCTAAACCATTAATAAATTAATTACTATTGTAGATCATGATTTTTCAGTTAGTTCAAAATAAAACTTATACCTTTTATTTATCTAATCATTAATTCAGCTAATTTGAATAATACCTTATAAACTAGTTAGCTCTTCATATTCATTAAGCCAAAATACTTTATTAGAACATCATCAACAACTCATATTGCATATTCAGAAAATATCATTTCAAAGCAAAGAATCTTCCATTATTCTAAAAAAAGAAGGTAAAGTTAAACTTATCTGGATTTTTCTTGTTAATAGTAGACCTGATAATAATCTAAAGTATATAAAAAATATTATTTAATATACTTATCTTTTTTTAAGCTTATGACTTGGATTATTTGACTATTCATACTCATACTTCAGATCAAAATGCATATAATCTAATAAAACACAGTATGGCTTTTTTATTCATAAAGCTTGTTGACATGTGAAAAATTCAGATTGTACTTAAATAGTCAAGAAAATGTTGTAAATAAAGAATTAGTATGCTAGGATTTTGAATACTCAGAAAAAAACTATGTAATATATAAAAAAAGGATGAAATATATGGAAAGCCTATGAAAGTAGAATATATCAACTAAGAGAGATTTTGTTCAATAGACTTGAGCCTTTAATATTATGAAAGTAGATTAAGAATTATATGCAGATTTGTTGCTACTCATTAAATATAAAAAAATGCAAAAATTGAGAATATTGTAATGAATATAGAGCTTTGAATGCTACAAATTTTTAAATAAGAATAATGAATTTCTCCTTCTAACTATAAAAGGAAATGATAGTCATTTTATCAACCTAATTTACGTTCTTTAATATTACAATAAACTCAAAATTCTAAAGTATGATAGTTGTTACCTTTAATTTTACGAGTATTTTACTAGTATTTATGTTATAATAAATATAGCTAACCCTCAAGTTCATAAATGATTATAAGTAAAATGTGTATTTTAGATATTGTAAATGAAAGAAAACTCAGAAATAAACTAGTGAGACAGAAATAGATTATGTACTTATTCTGTTAAATTTAAATTTTAATATTACTGAAAATATAATTTCAGGAAGAAATATATAGTAAAAGGTTGAACAAATTTTTCATAAAGTTCAATCAGATAAAGATTGATAATTTTTACTTGAAAATTGTGGCTTATTAATTTTATTTTATGATTATAATAATATTATTAAAATTGTTAATTATATAATATTACTAATAAATTGGACTAATAGCTAATAAATTACTAATAAATTGGATGATATTACTAATAAATTATATTTAATAATAATCATAATAATTAGAATTAACATAATAATTAAAGTTAAAAAACTGATTAATCATTTTATATTGAATATATCATGTGATCATAACACCTGATCTATAAAACTGAATTTTATTCACCTTTTGAATTTTTTTGAATTAGCTGATTTCTGATAATTTTCTTAACTTTGATTACAAGAATTATATCATAAAGATATCTTGCAGAGGTTTCAAATAGAAAGTTTGTGAATTTAATATAATATGTATTCTTTATTTAATTTCTTCAGCAGAAAATATATTGGTTGATATGAACTGAATTATTTTGTACAAAACAATTTCAAACTTAATAAAAAAGTTTAATACATTCAGATGTATCAAATGTAATATAGGTATATTAGCATATTTTCTAACAGTTATTCTAAAATCAGTAATATTTTTATATTTTATAAAAACTTATTTGATAGTAATAGTTTTATTTGTAAGGGAATATCAATAATATAAATGGTATGTTTATTAAATTGCATATCATCTTTATATTAGTTATATTTGAAAAATTTCTTAATTTTAAGTTCTGAAATAATTATATGAAGATCACAGTTACTGTATCTGATATTATAAAATAGATTACTACAAAACATGTTAAATTTACATGATAAATAAAAATACCTTTAAATTATCATTTTAAACGAAAATATTATTAATAATAAGAAAGATTTTGCTGTTATTTTTTTCTTTATAAATAAAAGGAATATTGTAAACTATTACAAAGAAATAAACTTAGTAATAACAGTATAATTTTTAAAATCTTTTTCTATAGTATCATTTTTGAGATATTCATTAATCTCTAAAAATTTTAGATAGTTTTTTGATGTTAAAGTAATAATAACTGTATTTTTTATTTACATATTATCTATACTTGGTTATTTGGAAAAATAAGTTGAGAAATTTTATTAGATTTAGCAATATTTAAAATATCAAAGTTTTCAAATTCTTTTGTTTTTATTAGCAATAAACTACAAGTTTATTTAACAATTTCTTTATCTAAAGAAATTGGTTGGTCAGTTAAATTTGAAGATGAAGAAGCGACTAAAATAAAACTGATAATAGCTTTTAAAGCAGAAGAAACTGAATATAAAGTAGATTTTTTTATTGTTTTTAAGATTTTTAACTTGATATAACTCTTTACAATAATAAAAAATAGAAAGATAGAGCAATAGAAACTTTTTTATACTAGGGTTTTTTTAGTTAAGAATGAAATTTTAAAATTATTTATTTTTTTTTAAAAATATGGTTTAGCAAGGTAGAAAAGAAAGTTTTTTTGCATATTAATATAATTAATATCTTACATTTAAATATCATATAATAATTATATATTTAATATTTAAAATAGATTTAGAAAAGTTTTTTATAATTGATACAGTTAAAATTTAATATAATAACCTTTTTAGTTTACTATGAATTTTTTTTAAAAAAAAATCAGTTTATCAATATTTAAAAATTAATACAAAAATTTTAAAAAATTCATTTTAATGAGATTTTATTAAGTGATCGTTATATTGAAAATTATTATATCAAGTTTTTATTATATTTTAAAAAGAATATGATTTATATGATATTACATGTATATTAGAATTTTATATATAAAATTATAATCTAATTTGATATTTAAAGCATATTTTTTTAAATCATGTTTTATATATATTTAAGAAGTAACTTTAAATTTTAAAATTATAATTTAAATATATATATAATTTTAATCAAAATATTTAAATATGTAAGAAAAATTTAAAAAACTTTATATTTATAATATATAATATTTAGATTTATATTAATAATATAAAATTGTAATCTTTATTTAAATAATGAATCTGAAAATACTGATATTTACTTATATAAAATGCATTTGGTGAACTGGGATCCTAAAACTAATCCTAAATTAATCCTAATTAATTTTGATATATATTGATATATTTAGATAAATATAGAATTATAATATATATATATAAGTATAAAGCGAAATTTTTAATAGATAATAAATAATATTAAATAATAATTTACTGAATTTTTACATTATTTATTTTTATATAACTAAAATATATTGCATTTGTATATAATTAAATTCATAAAAAATACTACTTTTTGAAATTAATATACTCATTTAGGAGCTTTGCAATAGAAAGGGAGGAAACTCTAAAAAAATTTTTTTTTGAGTTAATGTTAAATCTGAACTTATTTTACAAAAAAAATCTTAATTAGCTTAAAAAGTAAAATTTTAATTTTTTTAGAGTTTCCTCCTTTTCTATTACAAAGCTCCCATTTGTTAAAGATTCAGATTATAAAGTTTTTAATGTTAAGATATAACTAAAATATAGGATAAATTGATATATAATTAGAATTATATATAATAAGTTATATATTTATAAAAATAATAAAATTTATAAGATAAATATTATTTATGATTTTAAAATTAATAGTTTTTTTTTATAAAATTATAAATACAATTATTTAAAAATCCTTTTTAAGATTTACATTTGCTTTAAATAGATTAGTATTAAAGTTAAAAGTAAGGTATAAGTTTTAATGTAAAAGAAAGATAGAATCAATTATTAGTTATAAACCTGCCAACAATATAATTTATTATAAACATTTTATATTAAAAAATAATTATTATATTATACATAACTACCAAAGCTATTTAACTTTAAAAGCTAAACTAAAAACGTGATATTTACCCTACCCTTATTAGATTAATAATACCAATTCTAAAATATTACTAATTTGACAAAATAAACCAATCTAGACTAGCTACATTGCCAAAGCTAAAATTCGTTCATTAATAAATCGATCGTCAAAGATCAACATTGCACCAGTTCCGAATTCCAAGCGATATTTTAAAAAAATAAATCATATCAGGCTTATTCACTATTATTTTATTAAGAATATGAATTCTGATTTAATGTCAAATAAAATAAAATAAAAAAGCTAGCTTTTACTATCTAAAACAGAAATTCTTATATACATATGGTTACGTAAGTATATATAAACTAAATGCTACTAATACAACGATAATTGCAAGAAATTTTTTTATTTTTTTTTTTGATTTTTAGAAATTTTTTTTTTTTTTTTTTTTTTATAAAAAAAAAAGATATAAAATATGTATTCTAAGTAAAAAAAATTTTTTTTTAAAAAAAATTAGAAAATTATACAGAAAACGATAAAAAAAATATTTTTTCAAGTTTTTTTTTAACGTAGTTTTTTACACTAAATATAACTATAATTTGCCGTAACAATATTATTTCATTCAATATTTAAAAACATTCAATTATTGTTCCATACCAATTATTAAAATTTGATAAAGCAATACAAATTATGCATACAGTTTCTGATTTTTATAGATCCATAATACTGAATCAACATCGCAATGCTAAATAAAATTAACTTTTCTCCTCCATTAAATACATAATCATTTTTTTTGTTCCTTAACTTTGTTTCGATCACATGAAGTACATCACCTACAGGGATTATTTTCAAATTAGAAAGATAATAAATTAAAGCAACCCATTTGAGATATATTTAATTATAATTTACCCTCTGTAATTCGGGTTTGACGACCCCAAAGGTAGATGCGGCACCTGTGCCTTCTTCTGAAGATTCAGTGTCACTCCAATGCTCGCCACGAGAATGGAACTTCGCTCGACTGCAAACTAAATGGGCATAATACACTGGAGGGACCTATTTTATAACAATTTATTATAATTAACGCCATATCGACAAACGAAAAGCATAAAAATTCGATAAAATCTTACCAGTGATACAGCACGAGTACAGCGTGCGTACAGGTAACACAAATTATATGACAGCGTTTGCAGCCTAAATATTATTTTAAGTTAAGAGAGAGACAATTTAATAATGTTGAGCCACCCAACCCTGAATAGTTTTAGAATTTCATCATTTTCTAATTCTCTTTCCTCAACCTTTTTTATGCAGATTTTCTGACATTGTTTCTGCTTTATATTATCCAAATAAGAAAGAAAAACGAAAATATATATCATCCAAATAGAAAAGTAACTTACATATCGGCATTAAATGAATTTTCGTCATATAAAACATGATAATGCGTAGGCCTTGAAGTGCCTTGCAATCCAGCATGACTTTGTAGGTCTGAAATAAGGTTCATCATTAACCAGTCATATTAATATCACATGCAATATCACAAACTAAAAGAGAAGTTAAATTTATTTCCAAGTGAATTACTTACAAAAATCGAATTCGAACGGATGAGTTATCTCGGATTCAACAACTGTACCAGGAAGACAGTTGCCTGACCGATCCGTATCATTCTTTTCTAACGGAAAAAATCGCGTATGATGTCTTTTTTGCACGACAACAAATGTAATTGAAGGCTTATACGTGACGTCCAGAGCCAAACACGCAGCTGTAAAAACATTTAAATCCAATTAACTAAAACTTATGAAATATGATGAAAATGCACAAAATGGTCAAAAAACAATACCTCTCACTGCATTAATCTCCTCTTTAAGAACCGCTCCGAATTGACCTTCTGAGACACCGTCACGATAAAACAAAACACGATCTGGTTTTCTGCCACACGTTTGGTAAAAGGTCTTTAATAACTCTTTTACCATATTCGCCAAATCAGCGATAATTTCAGTCCTGCCAGCCTGGACTCGAATTGATGCAGCATATCTTGATGCCTTAGCATCCATGGATGCACAGAGAGCCGCGATTGAAGGGCGTTCAGTATCGCCTACGTTAAAGATGATGCAAAAAACAATTAAATTTCAAAAAGAAAATTCGATGAAAATTTTCAATGAATGAAATAAATTTCAATTTACCAGGAGCAGGGTGCGTAACATCGGCACCCATCAAAATCGTCGGCCTCTCGGTAATAAATGGTATCTGGGTTGGATTCAAAAACGAATTCATTCCCCCTAATTTAACATTCATTTTTAAACAAACGTTCGCGCAATACTGTTTCTTCGCCTGCATCATGTGTCGCATTTGTACACACTGTGATGCAACTCCGATTACCGTATCGCTAACCCTCTTGATCTCGGCGTATAACGGAACACCAGTATTAGGTAATATGCAAAGAATTAACTGGGGTTGCGCTTTAGCCGTATTTCCGGCTTTCAGCCAGGATTGCTTAAGGCTCTCTTCGATATTTCCCAAGGGATTAGCGTGCATTATTGGAGGAGTTTTATTTGGAATATTCTAATTGAAATAATCCGATTTAGAATTAAAAAATTTATATAAATTAAAATATTATTTTTATAAATTTTACCATTCCTGTGTCTTGACACGTATTAACCAATTCTCTCACAAACGCCTGAATTGCTTGCAATGGAAGATCTCGTTCACTTCCAAAGGCCAATACTGACCAAGAACCAAGGGTAGCGCCAGTTGCTACTTTTTTATCTCTTAGATTCCAAGCACCCTCACGTGGCTTGAAATCATGGTCACGGCAGGACGGGTGGTACTGAATAGTTGGCGTGGGAAGTATACGCGCTTGCACCTGTAAAATGACATAATTATTAAAAGATATTTATAATCTAACAATGCGAATTTATTCTTTTACTTACCACTGCCATGTCATTAGAAATCCTCATCCCGAATTGCTGCAAATACTCGTTACCGCGGTAATCGAGGATATCTAATCCTGTTCGAATTTTATTGGCACGGGAATTCGGAGGTTGACAAGTAAATTTTATCATGTCCGCGACCTGTTTTTCATTAAGTTTTCTAACATGACGCTGTCCCTATTATACAAATAAATGATATCATCAAAAAAATTTATTATGGAGATTATAAACTTTTAAAACTACTATAATAACTATAATCACGTGGTCTGTTAATTAATAATAAAAAGGATAATTACCTCCACCACTTCACAAACCTCCATTGGAAGACACACACCTCTTCTTACGACAATGCAAGGAAGATGTGGGAAATTTAACCTTTTATGATACGTTTCATAAAAATACGTAGCTACATCCATTTCGGTACCATTTGCGTCAAATCTGGTAGTTGATGCAGAAGTAGGTGTGATCTTCTCGATCTTATACTTTCTTTTAATATCGCCACGATGGATCACCCTAATCTTTAGACCCTTTATCGTTCTCTCCACTTTCTGCCTGTCTTTATCGATTAAGCCTCGTCTAAAATCATCAGGGGACCTACGACCCAGAATTTTTACGATCAATTGTATCAACGGTCCACCTTCGAAGAAGGCAGTAGCGCTCAGATCAATGTTGATCATCATCCGACCCTTAGTCGGGCGAGCCGACTGATAATATCCTTGCCAGACTTCGGCACCTCCAAATAGAGGTCTAGCCCCATCTTTCGTGTAGAAAGATCTACCTACTGTTGTATATTTTAAAGACGGAGAATAACGGACGAGAACGTCAAGGGCCATAATACCTAATTGTGTAAAGATGATAATAATAATAATATTATTATTTTAAATTATAACTTCATTCTCATAAAACTCGGATTTCAAGAGAAAAAGACTTACCGGTTAAACAGCTATTTGTTAAGGGACCCCTTCCATTAAGAAATTGATGTAGTTCGTCCATTTTTATATCTCCAGTATTTCGTAATTTGACCTTAAACACGCGAGGCTGACGTTTTACAGTTACCGGACCTTCCTCGGGTAACGTAACCTGTTTTTGATAAGTAAAAGAAATTATTAGAATTTTCAACCAAGTGGGAAAGACAAGAAATGAAAATTACGATATCTACATCGAATGTACCAGCACCACCAAAGGGCGGAACCTTCGGGACGAACATATTTTTTCTCCCTATAGTTATTTAACGAGAGGTATATATTATCAAATCAAATAAATATAAATAAATATATTGAGAACTTTTTTTTTGACAAGTTTAATACATACCGTCATAAATAGGCTTTACACCTCCAAGAGCATCCGCAAGATTCATTTCTTCGAAAAGCTGGAAGACCCTTTTATTCAAGGCAGGAGGAACGTCCGGTGTTATGATAACGTCATAGTGTATAATACTTGCGTCCGTGAAAGATTCTACCGCAAAGAAATTTGCACGGACTCTTGTTGCTCGTCCCTCCCTTCCTAAACCAGGTCTTCTAACAAATTCAACCTGGAGGTTATCGTCAGACATTATTTAAGATTTTATTTTTTATTAGTCGAAAAAATATTTTTTTTATTCGATAAAGAAAGATCAAAAAGATGGTAAAATTTTTTTTTATAAAAAAAAGGGTGATGATAATCGAATTTATGTAATATTTAAAAAAAAACGGGAAAGATCACGAGGATGGCCGTAGTTACACGAGAAGCTTGCTCAACTTAACAAGATTCATTCAAGTATTTTTTTTGCGTGTGAAATTTCAATTTGTAAATTCAGGTGTTTGTCATTAAAATTTGATCAAGCGCAAACTGTATTTATCCCTTGTAAAGCCTCATGATATGCTATTGTCTTCGAATTTGGTAAAAACAAATTTGGATGTGAGTAAAACCGCCTCACATACACATTACATAGCTTTGTATGATTTTATTGGGGAAGAATCGACAATAATGAAATCTTTTGCCGGGGTTACTTCACATTTTGGGCTAAGCCTAAACAAATTAGGTAGATTAACTAACCATAATTACATTTCTTTTGTTAGTTATATTGTATTTTCTTTTGTCAGTCCAATTTGGATATTAGAGATCTACACATTAAAAATTAGGCATATCATACATCCAATGACTCCTTTATGCAGATTTCACAAGATACAGTGTGTAAAAAATCACATCAATTGATCAAAAAATAATCATTTGTCCAATCAAATGACAGTAAAGCAGAACAAAAGCAAAAGCCTCAAACTTGACTTCCTACATATATGAAATAATCTGAGAAAAAACCGATAGCCACTGAAACAATTATCACTCCTTATTCTTAAATAGGTTAGAACATTTGAACCTAATTTGAACCTATCAAAGTTTTGGACATGAAAAAATACCATCATGCAAGTGTATCTGATTAGGTAATTTGACACGTCCATTATGAAAAACCCATGGGTTTACCATGTACCTTAATCTCGTTGCATACGCAACAAATCCATATCAAGTGATAAAGATGGTGTCGCAAAGCCCGAGATCCAACACGTAAGAATACTTGCGCTTTGGAGTGACTTCATTTGTTTAGTATTGTAGTATATTTACCAAATAACGCCACAAATATCTCGTGAATTATGATGAATTTAACTTTGATATACCGGATTCCCGGTTTGCATTTTAAGCAAGTACGTATGTACTATAGCGAATTTATATAAATTTTATTAAATATTTCTTCTTTGGCGCATTCCGAAATTTTGAATTAAATATGACCTTGCATTAGATTGAAATATTATAAAGTTATATATGGCAATTAATTTTCACCAGCACTCCCCGCTATGTGCAAAATTTAAGAACGTGATCTCGATGTAATTTTTTTACCTAAAAATATGATGCTTAAAGTTGGTTAAATGTTAACAACAATTCAAATTTCTTTATTATCAAAAAAAAATCTAATTTCCAGTATAAAGAGTTTGACGACGTCACGCGTCAATCATATTTTTTATTCGTCACGCGTGCCACTTTTCTTTATATTTTGAGTACATTATTTTTTTGTGTGTAATTTTCGTCATTTTTGGTAGTTCAGATAAAATTTGACCAAATTAATTTTTTTTCAACAGTTTCTCTTACTATAAATATTTTAAACTAAAAATTCATATATAAAAAAGTAAAGGATCTACAATATGTAAGAATCATTACATCGTAAATCATATGATCCTTAACGTGATTTTAATAGCATCGTGATAGAAAAAAAATTCTAGATTTATTAAAAATTAACAAATTTGTTTCTTATATAATGTCTTAAAAATCTAATAGCATAAGTTAATAAAATTATTTTCTATTTTTAGAAATTTACAATATGACAAAATGTTAAAACAATAATATAAAAAGTATATTATAAATATAATAATTATTAGCAAAAGTATATCAATATATTATAATTTATACATTTAAATAAATAAACTATCAGCAAACAAAAAAAAAAACTTTTATTAAGAAATTTTTAAAAAAATAATAACATTAAATGAATACAATAATCACAATTATTTACAAAAACATTCAACAATTAAAATCATAAATGTAATAAGTTATCAAAAAAGATTACCTTAAGAACAAGAATAACAATCTAAAGTTTGTATACATAGACATTGATAAGGCTATATAAAAGTGAAAATAAAAGTGAAAAAATTGCATCTTTAAATAAGAAAATACATTTTTTAAGTGAAGTTTTAGAAGATAATGATTATAAAAAGATTTAATAGAATCATTATTATTTCTGAAAAATGCAGCTTTATCACAATTAAATACACATATTTTAGAAGAACTTGATAATATGTCAGATCCTATGTGAAAAACATAAAGATATTTACAGAATTATAGAAATTCAGATAATATATCAGCTGCAACTTCTAAACATATTAAAAGATTCAACTATTTTACTTTCTTCATATCAAATCATAGAAATTTAAATAAACTTGATAATATATCAGCTCTTAATAAAGAGATTCAAATGATTTACTTTCTTTATGTCAAGTTCTGAAAATTCTAATGAATTTAATATATTAGCTTTTAGACATAAAATCAAGAAATCTTAATACATCCATTTGTAAAGTTCATGAAAATTTATTTGATCATGATAATATATCTTCTAAATATATGATACCAAAAAATCCAGACATATTTGCTTATCAAGTTTGTAAAAATTCAATTGATGTTAACAATATATCAGCTCTTGAATGAAGAAATCCAGACATATTAACTTCTACATGACTATTAATACACTTGCTTCTCCTATATTTTCATCATATTTTAATGATATAGATATGATTTTTAACTTACTAATTAGTTATACATAAATCTAAATATTTTTCAATTTGCCAATATTATATATTCTTTAATATAATATTCACTTATAAATAAATATCTGTCAATACTATCAATTTTAAATACAATAACATTACAATCACAATTAATATTTCAAGAAGATAATGTAAAATTTCATAATTTTTATTTTTTATTATTTTAAAAAGCTACTAATAAAATTTATTTTACAATCAAAGAATAATTGTAATTATTTAAAAGAATTAAAATATCTTTCTTTTATATCTAAAATCCTTCAAAATATGTATTTGAAGAGTTAGTATGACAAATAATAAAGTATAAATTTAATTTAATCAAAGGCTTAGAATGTTTAAAAATTGAAAAATAGAAATTTTGTAAATTTCTAAAATAAATTTCTTGATAGAATAAAAAGATTGGCTAATTCAATTAAAAAACAAAGAACAAGATTATTATCTTTTAATTTTAATGTTTATTTATTTTGCCAAAAATATTTTAATAACATTTTATATCTATCAGGCAAGGTATTTATATAATAAATTTATTATAATAAGAAAATGTTTATGACTTTATTAATGAAGAAATAATAATAGATATATTAAAATGATAGTTAAGTGGCATAAAAATAGTAGGGCAAAAATGGGGTTTCTGAGACAAATTCAAAATAGTACTCAGAAAAGATTTCTGACCGCCCACGAATCCATTTTAGCTATATGAATCAATTATCAAATTCAAACCTCTAGCGCATTTTGACTCAATTC